GGACCTTGATTGACTCGGCCCTCCACCTCGCTAAGAAGGCGGACAATGATTCCTTCTTCCCCTGTTTCAGGCCGAATAGGTGGCTGAAGTTCCTTTTGACGTCTCGGGAGCTCGCGAACCTTATGAGAAAGCGCTGAGCCAACTCGCGAAAGTTCATGATACTCCCATCAGGCAAAGAGTCGTACCACTCACGAGCTGGGCCGTCCAAGGTGACAGAGAAGCCGCGACATCGGATGGCATCCTCATACCCCATCATCACCATGTAGGAGAGGTATCGAGATACATGATGTTGGGGGTCAGAGGTGCCCTTGTATGTTTCGATGGTGCAAGGCTTGTAACCCCTTGGCAACATCGCATCCATCACTGCCCGGGTGAAAGGCTCGGGTATCCGGAGGTCGCCTGTGTAAGGTTCTCCCCCAACGACCCTTCTTCTTAACTCGTCGAGGCGATGGCGCAGATCCTCCACCTCGACCAGCGGTGGACCCCCCTGGATGGCCCTAGCACGGGGCTGGGCATGTCCAGCGGCGCCCCCAAGTCGTCTATGAACAGGAGGCTGGGCCCCCACGTTCTGCCTCGCCAAGGAACCGGTCTGGCTGCTCGCCCGGTGAGAGGGGCGAGAGGACTCGCTTCCTTCCATCTGCCTCGAGCGCCCCTGCCGGGCGCCCATCTCAGCCTGCTGATGGGCTCGGCTAAGCTGTTGAGAGACCTCCTCTCTCCTATGCAGGTTGGATCCAGAGTGTCGCTCTTCACGCCGCCTGGATGACTCCTCCACTTCCGCCGGTGTTTCTTGACGGGCATGCTCGTCCACGTCACCAACAGATACCATCTGCTGGAAACCTTGAGCCAAGGCCCCCAGAACTCGAGTCGCCTCCTGTAGGGCCTCCACCCTTTCATTGAGTCGGGTCGGGTCCATGCGCGGAGCATGACGTCAGCCTCCCCCGCGCCGGCTGCGGTCCGAGCGCTCCCCCTGGGTATGGTTGAGTGTCGCCCTCAGGTCGCCGTGGCCTGACAACAAGTTCCGAAGGTCACCTTGGCGTGCCGCCCCCCTGCCCTGTCCGTGGTTGTCGAGGGCCCGCTGGCGGCCAGACCGGTTGGATTCCTCGGTATGGACCGAAACATGGTCATGTCGGGTCGAGATTCCGGCCATCTCCCTGTGTGATTCCTACTCAAGTGATGTGAGAGACAATAGAGGCTCTCAATGAAAGCACCAATGTTGGTCCAAAATAGGACGCTCGTAGGCTTTTAGGAAAGCTACGAAAGAACACTCAAGCAAGAATCAGAATATAATGCGAGAATGGAAAGTTGCTCAGGAATTTTAGTTGCCAAGAATAGCATGTCTGTATTTGAATCACGACTTGCCTTTTATAGGCTGTTTACAAATGGTAACTGTCGAATAATAATGGCTAAATTAATTACATCATTAATACGGAATTAAATACATAATTAATAGCGCATTCATTGTTGGCCGTTACTCTTCGTGGCTGGCTAGCGGGTCGGCATGGCTGGCCGGCCGGACGCTTGAGCCCCTTGGACGGCAGGCTTGGAAGGCAGGCCCCCTGCTGGGCCGGAAGGCAGGCTTCCGGTTGGGCTGGTGGGCAGGCCATCTAAGGCCTCCACTCAGTTGGACCTTCGTTCCTTGATGGGCTTGATCAAATGGGCCGGCTTGAGATCTGGATTGCTGGGTCCGTTGGTTGGGCCTATTGATCCAAGTTCGGGGCCTGGGCCAATTAGGCATTGGACCTAGTCCCATAACCCCATCAATATGCATCCCGTGCAACGCACGGATAAAGAATCTAGTGTATGAAAAAGTAATTAAATGAATTGAATGGTGGAAGAAATTAATGAAAAAGTATGAATACTCTTGTAACAAGTCCAAAAAGGCTATAGTAATATAAGTGAAGTTACGTTATGAGTGTATTTTTATAAGAAAATTCACTAAAAGTAGAAAAATGAACAAATAACAAAAAACTTTTCAAAGAAATTAAATATGACCAGTAATAACAGAATGGATAGAATTAAGAGGATGTTTTAACAATCTAAATGACACTATCCTAGGCCTCAATTCGAGATCCATAAATGGGAAATTAATATCCGCCAAGGTATATGATCTACTAAGGGTTAAGGGTGAGGCTAGGACTATGATGAGTTTCATTTGGAAGGCTTATATACCCCCGAAATGTTCGTTTAACGTATGGTTGGCCCTGCGTAACCGGCTACCTACTCAGGACAGCCTCGGGTATTTGCATATTGTGAATAGATGTGACTTATGCAAGGGTGGGTTGGAAACAATTCCACACCTATTTTTTCAATGTCTTTTTTCAGAAAAAATATGGAGCCAAATTAGAGGTTGGATGGGTTTTGGTCACCAAATGACCACCCTTTTGAGCTCTATAAAGTGGATCATGAAGGAGCATAAAGGCTCGAAGCTAAGAGCAAAGGCGGCAAGATTGGCGTTTTGCGCCACGACTTATTACATTTGGCATGCTAGGAATGCTTGTAGATTCGATGGGAGCACGCCGAAGGAAGAAGAGGTCGTTGCGAAGATAAAGCATGTGGTGTACAAAATTATGTACTCCCTATATCCGCATGACTTGATTAGGTTTTGAAGATTGGCACACGAGAGGAAATTTGGGCGGCCGCGGCATACACCCTTGGACGACATTGGTTGCAACCGCAACATTATAACTAGTGATTGATTCTATGATTTTGTGAGATCTGTGTGCTTGCATCCTGGCAGCACCGATTATTTTTTATGTAGGAGGCATTTAGTATTTTATACTTAGGCCTTTGTTTTTTGGACTTAGAAATAGATCGAATAAAAACCTCTCTTCACCCCTACACTAGGTAGGGGTGGGGGGGGGGGGGGTTTAGGAGATCTTCATCTTGGTTTTTGATGTACAGTTTTGGGTGTTAATATATATTTACATTCATCCAAAAAAAATGGATAGAATATTTTAATGATATCTACAAAAGTTTTAGAATTACAATAAAAACAAATAAAATTATTGTTTCATGTTTGATTACACTTTTTCATGAATAATCATTTAAGGCTATCCATAGTATAGGCGGAAAACAAAAAAGTAATTTATTGTAAATGTAATCCATATGATCGATGCTACACAATTAGTTTACTCAAATAGAATTACACAAATGGTGCTCCCTCTACACTGTAGTTGTCAAGTTTTCCTTTATACTCCCTCCGTCCCAACATAAAAGGCGGATTTGTCTTTTCAAACATTTAGAAGAGGAACATTGTTTAACACTGTTTGGACATTGTTTGGTATTACTTGACACTGTTTTACACTATTTTGTTTGTCAAAAAGGGAAATGTGTCTTTTATATTGGGACGACCCAAAAAGGAAAATAGGCCTTTTATATTGGGATGGAGGGAGTATTTGTCTAAAAGTAATCATCAATTTTCTAATTTCACGTTTCAACCAGGGACGGATCCAGGATTTCAAGTCAAGGGCGACGAATTTTTTTCACTAATGTAGCGGGGAGAATTTTTTCACTAATGTTGAAGAAATTTTTTTTCGCTAGTGTAGCAGAAAGAAATTTTTTCACTATTGAAGGGTTCTGCGGCTAATTTTTATTAAAAAAAATCATTAGTATATTCACGATAACATTTAAATATATTACATTCTAAGTTTAGACAATGGAAAAATAACTTTAATTTTGTAACGTAAATGCTCTAGAAAAAAGTATTGATACATTAAAGCATAAGACATTGCAAATCAAAGGAAATTTATTTGAAAATAAAAAGGATATATATCATTTTGTCAAATTATTTGAAGGTAAAAAATTTAAGAGGTACACATCACTCAATGTTTTTTAAATAACTTATTTCTTGTTTAACTACATGAATCTTACCAGAATAAAGAATTTGTGTTTGAATTGTAGTTTTTGTCTACCAAGTAGGGTGTTCATGGGTTACGAGGAGTTTTTTTTAACATTACAATAATATGCATGAGATTATTATTTTTAGAATAATATTATACTTAGTATTGTTAATTCATATATATATGATGCGTATTATACTTGTATTAACGCTAAAATACGTTAAAGTTCATTATTTATGCAATAAATTGCTCTTAGAAAGTAAGAAGTAAATGAGTTGTATAATTTATTGTCAACAAACATTTATATTTTGGACCCACTTCACGAGATTTAAAATTGTTTAACCAGTGTGTCTGGTATTTATTATCATATGACCTTTTACAAAATGTAGTACTAATTATCTAATAAAGATAATTAAATATTACAAAGCTATGAATTTTTATATAATAGGTATCCTAAGTCTTAAACTATCTAACTATTTTAGATTTTACTTCTTTTAAATCTCCCAATTAAGTATTACATAATGTAACACTATATATTAACTTTAAAAACATAAAAGTTAAGGGGGTGAAAACATATATATCTAATTAAAGTATGAAAATTTTATGAAAATACTACATATATAATAAAAAAAATTTGAAAGTCCAAGGGGGCGGTCGCCCCCGCGCCCCCCTTAAATCCGTCCCTGGTTTCAACCGATCAATCGTACTAAAATACTAAAGGACTAATGATATCCATAAGTAAGTACTAAAATAATTTGGAAATATTGGGCGCACTTTAATTTGTAGTCAAACTCGGAAAGTAAACGGCGTTTCTAAAATTGATCAGCTCACTTTCGATAAGAGTACGTGTTGGTCTTGTTTAATCTGATTATTTTATGTTTAGTTTATTCTGTTTAAGTCTGGTTTAGTTGGTACAAGACATAATTAATTCACATAAAAGAATATAAGTACTTCAATTCGTACGGAAGAAAAATATGGATCATATAATATTGGTATCCCAGTTCAATTCGACCTATCCGTTTAGAACAAGTATGTACATATACTCCTAGTTGGATTAGAATCCCGGATTCCCGGAGAATGTAATACGATTGAAAACCTCTATAAATATTTAGTTAACTGGCCATTACTGACTAATAACACGATTAAATTATTTTACATGTCCGCATCTTACTGATTATTTAAGGAAAGTCGCCTTTTCATCTTCTGTGTTTCAAAGGGAGCTAGGTTATATGTGGCTGGGTCAACGACGTGGCTTGTGTCGACTACTATTTTGGACAATATTATTAGTAGAAATAATAAATCATTTAGTATATAGTAGTAACGGTGTATATGTACTCAATAATACTCAGAAGCACGACGACCAACAGCGGGGGACGAGAGTCGACGTCGTGGTGGCGAAAGACGGGTCCGGCCAGTTTAGGACCATCAACGGTGCTGTTAATGCGGCGCCGGATTACAGCAATACTCGGTTTGTGATTTATGTCAAAGCCGGGGTTTATCATGAGAATGTTGTGGTTGGTGAGAGGAAGAGCAATCTTACGATTATCGGGGATGGAATGGATGCCACCATTGTTGCCGGGAATTTGAGTTATGTGGAAGGATATTCGTTAACAAGTACCGCCACCTTTGGTTAGTTTTCTCTTTTACTACCTCTGTCCCAAATTGATTTGTAAAGTTGACTTTTCTTGGTCAAACAGTTACGTTTTGTTCACTTAATTAGGATGTCAATTTTTAATTATATTCTAATTTGGAGTTTACAACTTTAAAGAGATTTTAATGTAGTTTATGAATATGTAAATTTTAATTATTAAAAATTGAATTAAATAGACATACGGAGCATTGACTTTTATTATTAGTTGACCAAAAAATGTTTATTTTGCAAAACAAATTGGGACGGGAGTACTATTTTTTATATATACGGAGTACCTGTGAATCTTATTAAGCAAGGAGAAAAAGACAAATAAGCCCGTATCATGAGTCTCATTGCAAAATCGTTGAGACTTAGTTGTTCTTTTCTCTTAAACAAATAGTGTACTTATACTACTTAAGAATGAAGTACTATAGTCTATAAATGGTGCATGTATAAGCGAGTTTTGCATTTGATAAATCAAATATTTGACTTTTTAATTGACTCGATAGACTCGCTTCGAAAGTCGAAACTTAGGTTGATACATTAAGGTTACGTTATTCATATATATATACTCCGTAATTTTCATGAAAGTGTTTTTAATATACATCAATTCATTAGTTACAATACATAATCGGTGAGTGATTGAATCTAAATAACTATAGATGTTATTATTTTGGATAAATTTTAGACTCGAGCCTATTTGATAATATTAAAATTGGTGTAATATATTAAAATTGATGAAATTTTGATTGAACCAGCAGAATTGGTTGAACCAACCTCATTTAGAGCAATGAGGTGGATGACATGCATTTGCCAATGCATTTAGAGCAATGGGTGCATTGGGGATGATGTGACAATTAAATGGAAAGAGTCCAGTTAAAATGAGAGGGTCCATTCAAAGAAGTCTCCAATGCTAAACAAATTGCAAGTGCAAACACATGGGAAGCAACTTGTAGGAGAGAGAGGCCGGGGGTGAGACCCAAGGTCCCAATGTAGACCTCTTCTTGGACCTTGGTCATTGCCACCTAGGATAGACCTCATTTTTTTGGTTTTGCATTGAAGAGCACATTGGGTCCATTGGATGAGGTGGATGACATGCATTTTTTTGGTAATCCACCTCCAATTGATCCCATTGGAGATACTCATCTTAGGATATGGTTGATCAGCCATTTTTTTGCCTTTTTATATATTTAATCAATTTGACAATCTAAGTAACTAAATTTAGGGTTAAATGGATTTTAAAAAAAATTAGGGTTAAATGGTTATATATCTTAAAGAAATACTCTCTACACTACTAGAAAACCGACTTTTAGCAACGAAAAGTATGGTCGTTATAGGCTTAAAAGTTCGTCGTTAAAGCTTTTAATGACCATTTATTTTTCGTCGTCAAGTGGTTGTTATAGGCTCCGTCGTTATTGGTTTTAACGACAAAATTCATCGTTATTGGTTTTAACGACAAAGTCCATCGTTATTGGTTTTAACGACAAAGTTCGTCGTTAATGATTAACGATGACACAATACTCGTCGTTACTTATAAACGACAAAAAACTCATCCATGACAACATAATTCTTCATTGTTATCTAAACATAAGATATTTAACCGTTATTACTTTTATGGTTTATACAATTATACGACTGCAATTTAGATACATAAAAAATGTACTACGCACAATACACATACAATCAAGAAAGAATAAAAACTGATGTAAGCTTAAAATGTATTTATCACGATAATTACAATTTGAAACATCAATCATCCATTAATACAAAATGTATTCTCAAAACACTATTCTAAAACATCTTTCTTTTTTTAATAAATGGGAAGAATTAAAACTAATTCAATATTTTACAAAAAAATAAAACTTGTGGGGATCGATGCGTCGACTTCTAATCTTCAAACACCTAACATAAAATAAGAAGATAATTTACAACTCGTTAGAGAATATATATTTATAAGTGGATCCTAGGTTAGAAATAGGAATAATACTAGTCAAGCTAAAGTAAACTATCTAAACTTTAAAAACACAAATTAAACCAACTTAAGATTTTGTTAAGCTAATACATAGTCAAGGACTCAAGGCAAGTTAACTAAAAGCAAAACCAACGTAATCTCAATCTGAAGTCTTTGCCAAAACCCAAACCATTGCAAACTTTAATAACCTGCAATAGTAACGGCAGCCACACCCCAATCTAAAACAAATCCCCAATATCTTGAAAACACAAAAATAGCCACATGCACTCAATAAAAACATACATCCACTAAAAGCCAATAATAATTGCAAAGACAAGAATCCAATAGCTATGAGCAAGCCCCTCTAGCGTTTAAAAGTTCTCATATTGAAATTCCCAGCCAAAGCCAAAATTCAAATAAAACCCACTTGATCAAAGTACAACACTACGTGTAAGCTCCCTCATATTAGTGAACTGTAAACTTCATTTTTTGAATTGATGTAATAAAAAATGATGGTATTCTAGTTTAGGGCTAGAGTTTAGGCTAGACACTGCCTACTGTGGAATTGATCCTGTTGATTCAAATTCAGTTTCAATTTTATTCGAAGCAAAATAAGCAGTAATTCTCAATATATCATCCCACATAAACTGGGACAAGGTATACTCCGACAAGGTAACTGGGTAGCCCATTATTTGGCAGAAACTAAGGTGGATCAGATTGAGACAGCCCAAACAATCTTCCAGTTCTAGCCAAGCGGGCCTATTATATGGACTATTATGGGATTCCTTCTTTCAAATTTTTGTAGCTGTTATTTTTAAAATTGGGTTTTGGTTTGGTCCCCCAATTTCTGTCTGATTTTGTCTTTCCTTGTTGTCCTGAAGAGGTTTTGGTCTAGTCCCCCTCTTCTTTTTACTCTTGATTGATTTAATAAAAATCGGCAAACGCCCCCCCGGCGTTTGCCCCACTGATTTTGGTGGTTGGTCTTCTGAGGTAAAAAAAAATCATCCCACATAAAATTCAGAACAAAGAAGTGATAAATGATGCAAAGAACATCAACTAAAAAAAGAATTTGGCTATAGGCTATGAGTACTATTGATATCAGGTTTTTTTGCATTACCATATTTTTTCCTTCTACTCTGTCCAATTCTACTTGTATCTGCAAAAAAGAAACTTGGAAAATAAACCTCAAACCCTGAAAAAATTACCTCCCATAAAAATTTATTCTGAAAGCAAGTTTTTAACTTAATTTATGTAGCAAATCATCAATTGGATAGTTTCAATATATGCAGCAATTTCAAACATTAACATTTAGTACCAGAGAACTCAAAAGATTACTGAAAAAACACAACACCAGATTAGGACATTAAAGAGTACAAATCGAAATTACCTGAAACAAGGTCTGCGGGAGATGAATTAGTGATAAAACACGAGGCATAATTGAACAAGACTGAAATCACATATTATATATGAAGCAAATTAGAAATTTAAAAAGAAAAGATAAAAAAACAGAATCTAATTTGCTGCGTTAGTTCTTTAAAATCTTAAAATATACCTTATAATCAATAGTTTAAATCAATATGTATCCAACAGACTCCATAAAATATTAAATTGACATGATAAAATGTTGGATTATCTATTTTAGGCGTGAAAACCGCATTCCCTATCTAGTTTTAATAGTTGCTCACTTTTTCTTCTTCCATTTTTGGCAGATCATAGTAAACTTGCAACAACTCCATAGCAACAACAAAATAAGACTTCACCAAGAATGGAAATGTATGACAATCTTAAATAACATCAATTGAATTCCTTCAAACTAAAAGCAGATAAATCAGTTAGCTAAAACATAAAGACCATAATGAAAAATTAGTATGAAAATCAAGTTTGGAAACATAGCATGATAGCACTATCAAATTAAATGACAACTTTTTAGTAATTGGAATATCTTGCCTTTGTTTTTGTCTAAATATGAAGAAACACTACATTCTAAAAAGGAAGACAATTCCTCCTCTTCAGAGATCGTTGTGCTCTTCTCTTTATGATGACTTATGCTCATGATACCATAAATTTTAAGTTCCTGCTCCTAACTTGTATAAAACAATTCAAGAAATAAATATGAGAAAAGCAAAAGTAGGTTAGATAATCTAAAGAATTCATTTGAATGCCTTCCCGATTGAATTGTTATCTGAAATTTGGTATGAGTAAACTAGACTTAATGAATAAGATGCTCAAAATATTTCATCAAAAAATTCCACCGGGAACCGCCCCAAATGGCGACGGCCGGACAGAACCTTCTATATAAGGGCTCATTTGACCTTTTTGTGTAAGTTCGAGGGCCTATATGACCCTTTTCCCCTTTTAAAATGTTTGTTTGTATTTCATATTTACTTTGCATCTCGTGAGACCTTTTAAACTCCGGATTTAAACTTTTTAAATCACATGTAATAATACTTTAATTGATTGCATTCTAACAGTAAAACCCACTTTAACTTTCACAGTTGTGAGCAAAATAAAGTTAAGTGAATTCATAAGTAGCTAATCATCAAGTTATGAATTGGTTCAAAGAAGACATACCTGGGACCGGGACAAATATAAATGCAGAGACTTCACTGCCCCAATAGCAATGCTTCATTTTCAATCATGTTTGCAAAAAAAATGGTAAGTTAATAATTCCAACCCCCACACCAAAAAACAGAGTCCATACTGTGCCTATATCTATCAGATCAAATTCCTACCATTGTAATTTGTAAATGATAGAGAGATGACATTTCCATCTGAAAAGGCAATACCCACCTCATGAAAGTACTCACCGATATAAAGACGTGTCCTTACTACCTAAGTAGCTAATGTGTATAGTGTAGCTTAAACACGACATTTTGTTAAGTTGGTACTCAGTATCATAAACTTATGTAATTCTCTGTAGGTTTTAGAAAGGTTATGTCTATCTCGGATGTACTTTGCATCTACTTTGCAACTACTGAGACAAAGCTTATGTGAGTACTTAATATCTAACAAAGTAAGATATGTTAGTCTCAGCAGTCTCACTGTCTCAGTACCTTTTAGACGTTGATATTTACATAAACTTGAGATATAAAAATTTCTTTAATTGACTATAATTTAACTATAAAAATAATCGTAGCATCACTGATAACATCTCAAGCGTATTAATCGGTTGATTTTTACTTTTTTAATGTACTTTAATACTCATTATACTTTAATTGGAGCAAGTTTAGCAATTCAACGATTTCAGAAATCATTGAATATAAAGATTAAAAATTCTCAATGAATCAGCCAAGCACAGCAGACAAGAAAATCACCAAAATAAGTATAGCGAGTCAATAAATTTATACAACAACTCTCTAGATTGCTGAAAAATGTAGTAAATGTTGAAAATTACAGTTACCTGAGCAAAAGAACGACCAATTGAACGAGAATGTTAAGAAAAATTGTGTCGGTAGATAACAGCGAAGGGAAGATCAAGCAAGAAGAAACACTTTCTGCAACTGAGCGAGAGGAAAGCTTAGCGACCTAACCAGAGGAGGGATAAAACGAGATGAATGATTGAGCCAGAAGAATGATCCAGCGAGAACTAATTCAATCTTCAGCGGCTAATTCTCTCGTTGCTCTCTCTACCTTCCCGGCCTGTTTCCCTCGATGTTGTGTCTAATCTTCACTCCCTCAGCTCTCTCCTCCTTGTGCTTCTGTACCCTTTCGCGAAGCCGACAATACAACCGAGAAATTAAACGCCATCTTGCGGGCGAACCAGGAGGCCCAGAGAGCGTTGCAAAGGGTTTATGATGATGAGGAATTGCAGAAATGGTCGATGATGAGAAATTGGGGAGAGCTAATTAGGGTTTATTTTTTTAATCCAGCCGACCTAATTTAACCAGGTTACGAAACGAATTGGCGGCATCCTGAAAATTGGGCGGTATCCTAAAAATTGGGCGGCATCCTGAAAATTTATAATTAATCTTATTTCAATTGATTGATTTTTTCTTGATTTAAGTTTTAAAACCATACTATGTACCCGTATATCATAAAACAATTAGTAAGTAATAACGACAAATACACATTAACTAATAACGACAATTTTTTATTATGGTCGTTGAAAATAAAATTTAATAACGATGAACTCATTGATCATTGTTAAAAAGAACTTTTAACGACAACTTTTTAGAGTCGTTGTTATATGGTGGTCGTTAAAAACTCTTTTTCTTGTAGTGCTACGAGTATGATAGGACAAATTAATAACCTATATTATATTTTTTTAAGCGCATAACACTTTGTATTTAATGTGAGGCAGCATAATTATAGTTCACTTATGCAATAGTCTGTTTTTATTCATTTAAACAAGTTAGTTAGGCTATTTGATTAATTTATACAGATACATGACATAAACTTAACTGCATGCACATATTTAAAGTTTATAGGTACAGTTATAACCCAAATATTCTCTAAATTATTGTTTGTTCAATGGTTGAAAGATTAGCTTATTTTATTTGTGGCAGCTGTGTTTGGCAAAGACTTCATAGCACAGGACATGGGATTCCACAACACGGCCGGAGCAGCCAGATACCAAGCCGTGGCCCTTGTGGCGGCCGGCGACCGGGGAGCTGTTAGTTAAACCCACGTTTGTAGTTTTTCAGTTTGTTATTCCTATTATAAATCAATGGCAGCAGCCTGAGAAATGCAGGGCAATTTTTCACTGCTAATTCCTTTGTTTTGCTTACTAGTCTGCACTAACTTTTATTCCTGCTGCAACAACAGGAGCCTTTTATCGCTGCAAAATGGTGGGGTACCAAGATACGCTCTACGCCCGATCCAACCGTCAATTCTTTCGGGATTGCGCCATCTACGGCACAGTGGACTTCATCTTCGGCGACTCCGCCGCCGTCTTCCAAAACTGCACTATCCGTCCCCGGAAACCGCTGCCCGGCCAGTTTAACGCCATCACCGCCCAAGGCCGCGCTGACCCGAGTAGTAAAACCGGGTTTTCATTTCAAAACTGCGTCGTTTCGCCGGCAGAGAATCTCGCCGGCGTCAAAACATTCTTGGGCCGGCCGTGGAGGAATCATTCTAGAGTGGTTTTCACAAACACTTATATGCATAGTTTCATTGATCCGAATGGTTGGGTGCCGTGGTCGCCGAGAGATAGGGCGTCGCCGGACACAGTTTACTACGCCGAGTTTGGCAACTACGGCGGAGGGGCCGCGACGGCGGGCCGAGTGCGGTGGAAGGGATTGCATTTGGGGATGAGTAGTGAAGAAGTCAGCATGTTCAGTGCTGAGTCTTTTATTGATGGAAGCTCTTGGATTATTCCTAGGACGACTGATGTCACTTTCAACTCTTCTTCTCCTAATTCATAATTCATGCAAATAAAGTATGGCATCCTTGTATTCAAATTCATAATTCATGTAAATCAACTAATCAAGTATGATTTGGGAAGTATATTCTTTAATTTTTTATTTTTAAGGGAAAATAAATTTAATAATAACTAACAGTACGCGTTTTTTTAAACAAAACTAAAACATTGGTTTTAATACACCACATTCTCTCATGATATACTTCCTCCGTTCTTTTTTAGTTGCAACAGTCAACATTTCACATTTGCCAACGCACATCTTTGACCGTAATTATATCTTAATCCTTATTAGTAAAAAATATTTAAAAATTGGATTTTGAAAATTTGTAATGAGATGAATTGAAAAATATAATTAAAAAAAAAAAAATTTCATAAAATAATAGTATAAAATGTAGTCAAAGTAGAACATGTGAATAGTGTAAAATTCAACATGTTGCGATTAAAAAGAGATGGAGGATAGTATAAATTTGGCACACTAACTGACTAATTAACCTATTTATCTTGTTTGGTAATAGCACATGAATCAGTAAAAATCTCGATTAAAATGTTGAATTGGCGAAAACTAGCTAGTGAAATGAAAAAATAATAGTTAAAATACATTTTTGTCCGTATAAATTAAGTAAAGAACAAATTGTATATATGAAAAAAAAAAAATTAAAATAGTGTTCGTATCAAAATGTGTCATTATAGGCATAGGTTTTCATTTGTTTAATTTTTTATTTCTTCCATTATATTGCTGGTATTTGATGATTTTTTCCCCACAAAAGTTCATTAATTTAATAAAATTAAATAATATTTGAAATTTTAAAATAAAAATAATAGTAAAACTTATGACCATTATGTCCTAGATTGATAATTTTTCAACCATTTGATCCTTATACCGACACATTTCATATTTCGGATCATGGATTGATAATTAATCTATTTTTCAGGTCTCAATCGAATTGATAATACTCAATATTAATTTACATTTATTTCATTTTAATTGATACGAGCAACTTTTTTAATTTCTCTTGTCTACGTAGAAGACGTATTTGGAAAGTTGACGAAACCGTGCGGTGAGTCAAATATGTGCTTATGAAAATGTTTTCTTGTAGTGATTAATGTCATTAGAGATTCAGAGACGCTGATACAAATATTGTAATCTTCTGTTTATGATAAAAATATTATATATATACTCCATAGATGTTTTATGGTAGTGTAGAAAAAGAGAGTAAGAAAGTGAAAAAGTATAAAAGAAAATATGAAAAATTCTATAACCCACTTCTATAATTGCCAAAAAAAATAAAAATAATTACATATTTATGACTAAAATAAATAATGTTTACGAAAATATGATTAGTAACTAAAATAGTAGTGTTTGCCAAAAAACTAAAGTAGTAATGAAATCATAGTAACTTGTATTCAATTATTAAATTTAAGTTATTATGTACTACATAACCTACATTGTATAACTATTAATCACATTTGTGTAAATAAATTTTATTTTGATAATATTTTTGAAAAAGCTTATAAAACTTAACCAGAGATACTATTAATTAGCATTTTAATTATCATAATGGTAAAATGTTTCAATAAATATATAGGGGTGTTTGGATCTGATTCTTAAAACTGCTTATGCTTCTTCAGGGAACAGAAGAAGAAGTTGGAGTGTTTGAGTAATAGTGCAAAAGTGATTCTGGTACTCTAATTTATTCCTAGAATCAGTTTTTTGGGAAGTTGAGGGAGACCAGCTTCTGAAAAGTGATTATGATTCTGTTTCTGCTTTAAAAAATTAAAGAAGCAGACATAGTATTACGTAACTATCTATTAAGATCGGGCTTCAATTCCTAAGTTTGTTTTTAGTACCGTACTACTTTTTGCACCTTCGAACAGTGCCATATATATTTCAATTAAACTTAAGTGTGTAGATTGCAGAGCTATTCATTATATTGTGTTTGCAACTTTACATCGAGACTTAAAAATGAAGATCGGAATTCCACTTGTGTCGACGATGAACGGATCAACATTGGAACCGACATTTAATGAATTTGCAAGGGAAGCTTCAGAAAACGGAGTTGGTGATTTAAGAGTGTGTGGCAACACCAATTTTTTTCTTTTTAGAATAGGTGCAATTATGATAAGTTTTGTGCAGATATTTGTGAATATACTACCTTCGTCCCAAATTGATTTGCTAATTTGACTTTTCTTGGTCAAACAGTTTCATTTCATTCGCTTAATTAGGATGTCAATTTTTAATTATATTCTAATTTGAAGTTTACAACTTTGAAGAAATTTTAATGTAGTTTCTGAATATATAAATTTTAATTATTAAAAATTAAATTAATTATCGATACGGAGCATTGACTTTTATTATTAGTTGACCAAAAAATGTTGATTAAAGTTCTAGAAGACTACGTGTTTATTTTGGGTTCCATTATTTTATGTCCCCTAGTTGTAACAAAGCGAGAGAAGATGTGAGAGATGAAAATTTTAGTACTATAATTGATTTGTTAGCTAGGTCACATGTAGTTCAGATATAATTTGGTCAAACATGTACTTCGTCGGTAACATTTTGGTTATTCTACTTTCAAAATGTCATATTTTGTTTTTTAGCAAGAAATATGTGATCTTTATTATTTCACTTTATTATACTTAAATCTCAATCACATTTTTTATTTTTTTTCAACCATTTTATTAATTGTCGGCGCGTGTCAAATTAAAACATGACAACCAATATGAGATGGTGGTAATTTTATAACGATGAATAGTTTATTTAAAAACAAAAAAAAAATATGGGATGGGGGTATCCGTATAAAACACAGTTGCCTTTTGAATTTATATATATGCTCAAACTTTCAAATGCAATTAACTTGATTTTTTTACAATTACATAAGCATAACCCGCACGCAATTACAATAAGCCATCTCAACTCCATTTTTTTTTGTTATACTCAGTTTTGTCTTTATTTTATCCATTAAATAGAAAAATACTATTATAATCAATCCAAAATTATGAATTTTTAGGGACGAGCGATTAATGTTTATGAGAGAGTATTAGATAAGTGATTAAATGTTGTTTCTAATTGCATGTACAAATGTACAATGAATAATTAAGAGTTATTTTCATTATGATCATGTTTCTAAATGCACGTACGTACGATGATCATAGGTACATCAGAGTTTTAAAAGCTAATGTATGTATGTCAGGATTGTTTTAGGCTAGATCCATCTATTTTTAATGTTATGTTGTTGAAGAATTTGTCTAGTTTTGTACCCAATTCTTGAACGGAGTGGGGTCTATTGTCTTGGATAGTCGTGAGACAAAATGATTAATTTGCATAACAGTGATTTCACTTGGATCATTGATGTTAAGCAAGTTATTAGTTCTAAAGATAGAAATTAATTATATCTCACAAGTCATATTTTTCCATCATTGCAAAAATATGGAGCTTTGACTATATGTTGTTACTTGTTAGTGCTCTAGTCTTCCAATGTATATGAGACAATATTAAACACGATAAGCAGGTTGATGAGTTTGACATCAGACTTGTTGATTTTAATTAAGATGGCCGTAAAAATGAAATTATATAATGACTTCTAAGGCAAGACTTATATTTTGTGATCGTTGTGGCAAAATCGTTTTTGTTCTACAAAGCAAGAGGTCAATGAACGCCTACATGCGCGGAGATAGAATGTTTGACGGGGAGGATTGGAAGAGATTCCTCAGATCATTTTTTTCTTCAAAATTAGTATGAAACAACGCATAAGCAAGGTACGTAGATGAAGCATACATAATGTATGAGCTGACCACGCAGGCTTTTTGGAGGATTGATTGTTATGTGAATCACCTTAATGAAGAAGTGTATACTTAAACGTTCCTTGATCTAATTCTGAGAATTTTGTCTAGCTCCTAGGTTTTAAGTCTATTAGTCCAAATAGATACATGTTAATAAGTTATGTGGTATTACTAAGACACGCAAAGAATAAATCACAATTATTGATTGGAGACCGGAGTACTATTTTTAAATAGGTTTAGGTAATTATTGTTGTAATTTATTACTTGAGCTAGTTATTATTTTTACTAATTATTATTACTATTGATTTAGATTGTAGGTAATTACTATTGTAATACTCCTATTATTTATTGAGTGGATGAGCGTATCTTACAGTGTTCATGATATTATACTATTATAGTGGAGTGATTATTATTTGTCACGATTTTAACTCTCACATGCACCTTTAGCTTTCAAGCGGGTCACTTTTTTATTGAGAA